ATATATATATATAAAATACATTAAATTTAATTAAACATTAAATATTTTAGAAAATTAACATATAAAAATATTTTTTCTCAGTCGCTTTATAATATCATAAAATAACAATTTAATAATTTATTAATAATTTATAAATAATTATTAATAATTTATTAATAATTTATTTTAAAAATCAATAAGTAAAAATCGATATAAAGTAATATAAAAAGAAAAATTGATACATAAAATAACAGCTAGACTGATAAAATGAAGAAATAATAAGACGATAATAATAACGTAAAGAAACAGAAGAATTATGTAAATTAGATCTTTAATATGCCATGCTTCTCGACAAATGTTAACAGCGATATACTCATTAACACCGTTATTATTACGACAATAATTTAATTTGCATATTTATACATTAAGGTACATTATGATTAATGTGTTGTAACTGCTAACGTGCATAATTATACACTTGTACGTTTATTGAAGCGAAGAAATATGATTAATTAATTACGTTATACAGAAAAAAAGCCATTGATTGAACTGTCGCTTTTATTAATGGAATTCTTTCTCTCTTTTAGAATATATGTTCTTTCTTGTAGAACGTATAATTATTCTAAAGATTCTTTAAACTACACGGATGTATCGAATTCTATAAAGATTTATTAGGCGTCATTAATTATATATTTTAATATCATATGTGTATATATATATATATATAAAATATTAAAAATAATTATATATTAAATTCGTAACATATAATAAAAATAATTCTATATTATAGAAAACAATATATATAAATAGAACAAATACGACTTTTTTTTATAAATGTCTGCTTAATTCACCTGTTTCGACATTCCATGAAACTAATTTGCGCCCACGCGAGATTTTATCATCATTTATATGCAGACATTAGCGTGCTAAAGCAGCTACTTAATTATCTGAAAAATCATGTGTATGAAAGACATTTTCCCGCGGAAAAGTTACGGATTACGTGCCTAAGAGCTCTCTGATTCCTTTACCGTTATGTTTAGTCTTGCGTCAGTTTTTAAAGTGCCGGTGATGTAATATCGTGCACCTTCTCACGATACGGCAGAAACGAGAGAAGAAAAGATAGAGGCGCATGAGTCTAATTTCCCGCCTACGCAACGTGCACGTTGTTGATCATCTGACGTTCTCATCTGACGCATGGAAAGCATCCTTGGGAAGTCATCGGAAATATTTTAGAGTCTAATTAGTGGTTCGCTGACAATAAACCCTCTTATTTAAACCCGCGTATTATCTCGCTATACTCATACACATATTTAACATATATGTATTTAACATAACATTCAAGAATTCTGTATGTGTAACACATACTTACTTACGTATGTGTAACACATTACTTACTTACTTACGAAGATAAATTTCTTTTATTCTTATCATTAGTTTAACTCAAATTATTTATTTTAAGTAATCTTGAAAAATGTTAAACAATTTTATAAAAAAGTCATATATAGAGATTTGAAAAATTTTAAAAATTTTCAAAGAATTTTTAGAAACTTATTCCTTTCAAAATATACAAAAGAAATAGCTACAGAGATAATCCTCACTTGTGTTGATGTATATGATGCATTAAACAACAAAAATAGTCAATACAAATTTTTTTTTAATTAATTATTTACCGCTCTAGATAGAATTGGATATTTGTTTTTCCAAATAAAAATATTTTGCAAGCAGATTTAAATATTTAGCAAAATAAAAGTTTAATTTTCTTATATATTGAATTAAATATTGGCGTTATTTATGTCTATATCTTTATTTCTCTTCATCTCTCTTCATTAATCTGATAAATATTTTAATATAGATACTGTTCGTCTTGATGGCGAGCATCAGCATCGTGTTCTGCGAACCACCCCTCAGCAATCAGTATGGCGTACCCGGAAATTACGCAGGTGGAGGTCATCATGGGGCACAAGGTGGTGGGAACGGATTTGGGGGCCATTATGGTGGGCACGATAATCAAGATTACACAGATAATGAGGTATTTGTAATACATATCTGAGAAGCAACCATCAATGAAATCGCACGAATAGTTTAAGACAATGTATCCCATGCTCCAGTATACCTTCATTATAATTTTGCTGTATTTTTTCGCTACATTCTTTCTTTTTTCGAAATAGAACTCAATTTTTCTCTGATTGTTGATATCGTTTATTTGCAATTTTTTAAATACTCAATATAAAATATTTATAATCGTTACATGATCATTTTAAAATAATTCCAAATTAAATAATATTACAGCGCCCGATTATTTAGCAATAATGCAAACACTAGTACTAGCAAATATAGAAGAAATGGTTTAGAATTTTTATGAATATTGCAATTGTCCGATTAAAAATTCATGCAATACAATCTGATATAACGTGGGATCGAATCTCGGCCTATCATCTTTGATCTTCATTCGATGATTACTTCAATAGTTGGTGCAACATGTTTTGCGAAATCACGATTCAAATTGCATGATCATAATTAAGCCCAATGCTTGTTATGTAATTAAGCGATGCAATTTTTATTATTAAATTATTCGCAAAATAATGCAAAATGAGTAGTATCAATTAGCGCTACAGATAAGAACAGTGTTTATTACTCCTTGTAAAGCATTGTCGATGACTCTCGAGTTTGCGATTGCTATTTAATCGCAGGTGACTAGGTCGGTATTCGTTAACGATTTCGTAATCCGAAATATAAGAGAAAAAGTATGTATTACGTCATCATGACAGACGTTCTTTTGTTCAGAGAATCCAGGTATTGCTTTCTAAATCTAGATCCCTGCTCCTAATACACGTATCACCGATTATTCTGACGAGTCTTGCGAAAACGCGAGGCACTCCCGAGGTTAGAGTTGAATACCTCAGATCTAGATTCGGTCATGTCTTGGAAGTAACATTGAACTCTTCGAATAAAGAAAGGACTGACCTCATTACGCAAACCTCATCCGAAGAAGTGAGCTTGAACGAACTTTGTTTTCTGAATGATCTCCTGATTTTTTTGTAGGCGGTGAGTAGGATGATAGATCCTGAGATCTTAAGACTTAATGTATCGTGATCGACATGTTTCTTTTATCTTTTATAAACTCTCACGATTCGTGGCTGATATCATCGTAAGATATATCTATATTGCCTACTTACTACTCTTAAATTGTTGTCGACATTAAAATTATATCATCACTTAGAAAGAAGTTTAGTTCTAGTGGTAGTTCTCAACAGAAGAGAACTGTTCGATAATTGAAACGTTTATAAATTAAAATTGATAATAATTGAAAATTGACATAGCAATAATAACTATTATATAATTCAATCTGTTAAAAATATATAATATATTACACATAATATTCACATTAATATAATAATATCATATTATATTATCCTATATTTATTGAATATTCATTGAACAATTTACCACTAGTTAAAAACTCTTTTATTTTCAAATACTTAAAAACTTAAATATCTTACTTTCGTATATTTTTTTTTTAGTTTTCCAATTACTTTTACTCATGTTAAGTTACTTAACAAATAAATTCCAGTCCAAATTATCCTAACTATATTTCATCACAATTACATTTAATATTACAATAAAATACAATATGTAACATAATTAATTATCTAAATTAATTTTCTCTCATTTCCATATCTTCTTTCAAAAAAAAAAAAAAAAAAAAAAAGAAAAAGAAAATCATCAGGTCTTTTTCCCTCTCTCGTAAAGCAGCTCATCATTTTGCACAATATACTTCGCAATCAATTGGGTTATAAGATACCATAATCAAAGGATGTTTATACGTATTTTAATCTCAGCTTACTACTCATCCTTCCACATTGTTTGAACACCGTGCGCGATTACGTTAATCGAGGATCGACGCACCGCGCTCAAGTGTCTCGAGATGCTACAAATTCGCGTCCGAGAGCGAGAGCGTGGCGCAAACGGATGATGTAACAATATTAATAGGGTGAACCGCGACCGCGGGCATAATTCACGGTAAATCGTTATTGCTGGTTAGCTAATCGTCCCAGGGATCTGAGCGCGCTCGCGAGAGAGACGCGAGTTCGCATCTTGCGCGGATCTGCCCGTCGGCGGCGAGCGAGCCGCTGCTGGTGATAGTAGCTGGTGATGGTTTGTGTGTCTGCCATGAGCCAGATTAAATCGCGCCGGCTTTTCTTCAGCATCGTCGTCCGCTCCACTTTGCCGGGAACGGAGGAAGGAAAGCTTGTCGTCCTGACAGAGCGGTTGCGTCGTTGCCGCATTAATAATGCGCATCCATTCATCACTTTTTCATTTATCATCAGCCCACATTTATCTCCGTACTTTTATATTTTATAGGCCTTACTTCTTTCATTACCCTCCTCCCCCCCACCCCCTTTCATTTTTTTTTCTATCCGACAACAAGATGAAGGAGGCGAAAAAAAATGAAAGATTTCACGATCGCTCTTATCTTGTATCTGATCTTGCTTCAGCCCAAGGCCTACGAGTTCGGTTATTCCGTGAAGGATCAGGCTACCGGAAATGATTTCGGTAGGCAAGAGACGAGCGACGGCGAGACCGTTCGCGGCGAGTATCGGGTGCAGCTTCCGGACGGTAGGACACAGATCGTTACTTACACCGCCGACTGGAGGACCGGTTTTCACGCCGATGTGAGATACGAGGGTACCGCGAATTATCCGGATCAGTACAACACGCAGAACGCCGGGTACGGCGGTCAAGGTTTCGGCTATCAGGGAAATCAAATCGGTGGTGGAGGCAGCGGATACCCTGGAGGTGTGTAATATAGGATATATTTAAGTAATGCTCTTGCTACATATGTCGTATCACACATCGAGTGTAATCAACAAGATAGTTTTGATGTGGGAACTCTTGGAAGATAAATATTTAAATCAAATGAAAAATATGTCAGTCAACATAAAGCAAGAAATTTATCTTATCAGCGAAATAATTTACGAGTTTGATCACGTCTACATTTATAAGTGACTTACTTACATTTCTCTGTAGAATCATTGTGTTCCTTTTTATATAATTTAATTTTTCCTTATTTTATATAAAGATATTAAAGGAAAGTCTTAACGAATGTACCTTTTTTTACGAGAGATATCTTTTTTTATGTAGAAATGTATTAAAATAAAATAAATTTGAATATGTAAAATATTTTATTTTTTAAGATATCTTATAAATTAATTATATAATTTTTTTATTATCTTTCAATGTTTATATTAACAGGTGGTAACCAGGGCGGTTACAACTATCCACAATCAGGCGGTGGACACTATCAGTTTGGGTCTAATTCCATAGACAGCAGTTATAACAATATTGGTACGAGGAATAATTACCCGTCACCCACATATGGTCCTGCTTTCCATTAGAATATACAATAAAGTATTTTATAGGATTAATGCTTCCTCTTTTATGAATGTAGTCTTTTTTCCAATAAAGACATTTTTTTCATAATAAATATCTTATTTATATATAATCCCTTTAAAGTTACGAAGATATTCAATAGCTTATCACGTTTAAGAGGACCTGCGTTTCATATTCGACCTTTTATGTGTGTTTTTCATCATATTATTAATGACCGCACGTGTCTTCGTCTAACTTATTGTTTTCTTGATGTGAAAAATCATGACGACAAGCTTACGTATGTGATTAAAACGATTGCGACATCACAAACATGTGACAGATATTACATTTCCATTATAATTATACAACTTACGAAGGAACTTACTCTTAATTATAAACCCTTAATTATTCAACCCTGCCCGCCCGCATTTACCCTATGTTTATTTTCCATCTCACACGTAATTTCGGAGCAAATAGAGGCTCAATTTACGCGCCCTCCGTATTTGTCTTATGTTTTCTCATACAGAGATGAGATAAAACTCTTTCCTGTGAACTACGCAAGGCATATGTAAGACTCATTTCTCTTTCACGCGAATTGTGTCTCGTGCATAAAAGAAAGAATTTTGTAGAATTTCCCTTTGCTATATTTAAAAATTATATTCCCTACATAAAATAAGTAATGCTTTCGTTATTTAATCATGCCAACTAAGTAATCTCAAAAATCTCAACTTTGGTTTATAATATTTTTAGTAAAAGAGCGCTTTCTAATGCAGAACGAGTAATTATTCCGCGAAAGTCAGACAAAAAGTCTGACTTTATGCTTCAGCTTTTTTTCTTATTATGTCAAGTTCAGCGTCTGGGTTACTTGTAAGTACATCGTCAGAAGATGCTGCTGTTTTGCATTATGTCATCAGGAAGTTTACGTGCACGTCTATGAAGATAAACTTTCTCTAGCGTATAACGCCTAAATTGCACATTGCAAATTTCATTAAATCGCAAGTATATATTACTACACGTATAAAAGTATCTGTGCCATTATCATTCTATGAACATATCATGTTAATAGCATGGTAGAAATAGATAATTTTGCAAAACTAGTTCATTTAATCTACATATGAGATTACTTTAAATAAAGGTTTGAAATGCTAATTTGGTATTCATATTGATTGCAATAACATAATTTTTCTGCTGTGGTTTTTTTTTTTTCATTGCTACAATATACATGTACACGTGTATGTATAACACTTACGTGTCTTTATGTATAACATAAACATATATTTGTTAAAATAAAAATTATATTTACATAAATAATTTATGATATAGAATAAAACTTAAAATAAGACAATTCTGCAAAATATTATGACATTTATGTAATAAACATACAATGAAACAAAATTTTTCTTTCTTATATTATTTTTCCTAAAATAACAAAAAGAAAATAAATGTAAAAATTTGAAATTTGGTCTTCTGCTAAAGATTTCCTTAAAATACTTATAAGTATAACATTGTCGTTCGAATACAAGCGTGATATAACGAAAGTAAAAAGATAGAGATGACCGTGAACATTTTTTTATTATACATACAATACTATACTTATTATAAATTTTAAAACAATTCGGATAGAGATGAGATATTCAGTACAACAATCGCATACGCGTGAAGAAGTTCCCAGTGTTTATGAGTTGTCGAGGAACGAATAAGTCGGGAATATTCCGACTATGTTTATTGGTCCTCGTTGGAGAAAGTCACCGGATGTATTTTTATCCAAGTGCGACTCGCGTGAATCTCCACACCGATTAAGAAACGCTTCGTTAGGGGATTCCTGTTTGATTTCATCTTTAATGCCCGCGATTGCTCCAATAATATATTTCTTCGCACGAGAATCTCTTCCCTTCTAATTGATCTCGTGTGTCGAGAAACGCATGTAACGAAGGAAATGGTTCATTAACTACTTATATCTTGTTGAATCCTTTTTTTAAACTAAATAAAAAGATGCAAACTGTTGCATCTTTTACATATAACGTCACTTTACTTATCTATCAGATAATTGCGACAGATAAAATATTAAAAAGCAAATTTTGCGTATTATTACTGAAAACAATTTATAGATTTGCAAAAATAAATATGTCTTAATGTGATTTGAGCATGATAAATTTGTATATTTCATTTTGATGAAATTTATTTTGCATAATAAAATTTGTGTGAAATAGTGAATTTTCTTTCAAAGTATTGTAAAAAAGCATATATCGTTGATTATAACTTAATAATTATCAAGTAACTATTAAATAATCGCATCAATCGCGTATCTATTTATAATTACTTAACTTTTTGATAGAGTTTAATAGTTTCTTAATTCTTTTATATTTCTCTTTACTTTTGTTATATTTAGATTATTTATTTTTCATGTACTGGCGTCACGATCTTTTATCCCGTATTTTGGGAAAAATCTTTTTAGAATCTTATTATTCGTGATGATTATTATTACATTTCAAAAACTTCTCTGTAAGAAAAAAATTTCTCCAACGGCCCTGAAATGCCATGAACAATCGCAGAAACGGACATAAGTTTAGCGAGCCTGAAAATAGACGTCGAGCCGAACTATCGTCCAGCGTTCAGACACCTTTACACGAGGTATCCTGGACTCCCACCCTGACTTACTTCACATACGTGGAATCTTGCTTCTCGAGAGGTGACGTAGTCGAGCCACATCAGATCCGAAGAGTAGAGGCCCGGCAGAAGAATAAACCATCCACACATAGCTGGGTCGCGCGTGTAGCACATGCGACGAGCCTTCCGCATCGCGTGGAGCATTGCGCAATGCCGTTTATCCCCGATTACAGAGCAAACCGCGCGCATCCGCGAGCCTTCACTCAGATGAGTTACGTGGCCACCAATCTGCATCGCGATCCCCTACCTGCCGATGCCGCACTCGACGCCGGCCATAATTAATAGCAATTACGCCGAGATTAATTAAGCACCCGCGATCGCGCCGCGTATCGACGAGCCGCGCTGCTGTGCAATCGCACCGGGCGAAAAGTCAAATTGTAAAGTGAATTCGATTACGCAATCCAGAAATCGGGAAACAAATGTTTGGAGAGATGCATCATCTCGCATCGCACAACGAATATCATACATTTGCGACGGAAAGTTCTCCAATTTATTCCGTCCGATGATCTCGTCGCTTTTGATAATGAGAAATTGATATAATAAAAAGTCACGTTCGTATGTAATTTGCATTCTTTGGGAAATTGATACCTTTTAGGCGGCATGAAATTTTAACAAGATTGAACTCTCTCTCTCTCACTCTAGCAAGTTTGTATGCGTGAGGTCGTTAACGAAGCAATGCGCACAAGTAGGCTGAGGATAGGTGATCGTGATGAATGGAAAGATGGCCCACGCATATACCGGAATCCGAGAGTGTTTGTGAAAGAGCTGATTAATGTGGTGATCGATGTGTCCGGATTAACCTTATGACGCGTATCAAATTTTCAGCCTTTATCTTGTTCGAGAAAAAAAGAACGCCGATGCTGCTTCCATAGGCAAAAAATTAATTTGTGAGAAAAAAACAAAGCATTAATCAAGAGTCTTAAAAATAATTCTGGAAAAATGTACTTCTGAGAGAAGTAATTTCCAGAAATTATCTTTAGTGTACGATCATAATGATTCAACAGTCAAATTAATTCAGCTCAAAATAGCGTGACGCATCATTGTAATACTCTTGTTCTTGTATAATGTAAGTCTTATATAACGCACAAAATCACGAAATTGTTAAAACGTGCAGCGAAAGGTCACTATGTACCTTTTCGTGTACCACGCTGGCGAAATTTGCAATTTCGACGAAATTACCGTCGGCTTTGTACGCATATCTGATTTATAGTAATATCCCGAAATAATTTGCCATAAAAGTCCCACTGCTATATTGTAATTACGAGGTCGTAAAAAAGAGTACTTGAAGTATGTGCAACGGTTCAACATTGACGAGCAATTGACCAGCCATGCTCGTGCAAGCACGAAAATTGATATTCTTGAAAAAATTATACTTTTAAGAAAAAAAAACGCCCAGTACACGCGCTTATTGAAAATTTGTTGTTAAAAGAAGCAAAAATATTTAGATATAAGATATAAAAATTTAAATTTAATTTAAATTTAATTCTAAGATATAAAAATTTACTTTGCTTTTTAATAAATAATAATTTGTCATAATTTGGCAACATATCATCTGTTCATATTTCTCTATGTTATATATTTCATATATTTTTTGCTGATCTTTTTGTTAGAAAAATAAATTTATATAAATATATTTTATTATAGATCAATAATGATCCATACAATAGAATGAGACTCTGCTACATTTTTGTGATATTACGGACATAATTACATTTTCATACAACGACATTTAGATAATGTTACTCTCACCAATTCATATATCAATATCGTAACAGTTAATTTAATTGAA